GAGGGGAAGAACACTCCCTTATCCACAGAAAAGAATCTGCAACTCAGCGGCTGGCGGCCGTAATTACAGTGAGGCTTTGCTGAAGTCTGCAACTAGGAAAAACCGGAGAGAGGAGGGGAAAAAGGGGGGGGGGGGGTGGAGGGGGGAGGCTCATTTTTGTAAACCAGAGACACACCGAACCAACGGCCCTCTGTTTTTTTTTAGCATTACTGCATAAAAAAAACACCAGAAATATCCTCTGATTTCAGCAAAAGTTCTTAGACAAGTCAAACACAATCCATCCAAATAAATGGGACCAAACTACTCCACCTGGTCGTCCGTTTCCGGGAGGAAAATTATGCCGTTAAGCACTTTTTGCTATGAGTCCGACTCCATCTGTTAAATGCTGGTTAATGTTTTTACATTAACTACTTCAATAAAGTCCTTTTGGAGCATTTCTGTTAGATTTAGACTCTTTTGTTTAAAAATTCTCTGTTCAATCTGTGAGAGCCAGAGGGAGCAAATCGAGCCCGTATCACCATACTCCCACCACATTTTGTGGCTAAAAGTTGATTTTCGTTCTTTGATTGATGCCCAAACGGCAGGTTCTTCCACAGACAGCAGGTGGTTCTTTATGGTCTTTATTCACTCCGAAAACGCTCATTTAGTCCCATTTCTTTAAGGGATTAAGATGTTCGTCCCAAATTCTAGCTTCCATCTTAAAAACGGTGGTTTAAGGAGGACAATGAGTGCCGACTTACCTCTGATCTAAGCTATTTCCCTATAAAAGGCTATTTCAATGTCCTCTTCAAATAAATTCTTAATCCTTTCGTCTATTTCGATTTTTTTACCACTAGATATGCAAAAGTACATGATTTTCCTCAATATGTAACCAATGCTTTGCCAGATTTGGTTATTTTTCTTACGTTTTCATGTTTCCTGATTTAAAAGTTTTTCTGTGCTAAAGTTGCTTTGATTTAATCAGGTGATCACAGACGTTTTATTCTCATGTGTAAGAAACCACTGTGGTGTTGCTTTATCCAGGTTTAAAATAGTTAAACTTTTCTCATTGAGATTTAACCTCCCAGTGGCAGCCGATCATCGGACTGCATAAATACTAACAGAATCAATTTTAAAAGATGCCCAATGAGGAAGAAATTAAGATCCAGTTATCGTCAAGACTTCTAAGAAGAGATTTTAGGTGAATCTTTACAGCTTGTGTTCTATTTTGACAAAACATCCAGAGTTTTTCTGGACCAAATGTGCTCAAAATAAAGCCCTGGGTCCCAGAGGAGCCATGCCGCCACCTAGTGGACGCAGAGAGGCATCAGCTCAGAACGCTGACTGGATGCAGCATCGATCGTCTTTTTCTTTTTTTAAAACCCCCCAAAAACAAGAATTCAGCAGCTGCAAATGACTCGGAAATATTTTTTATTGTACGGGTAAAAACGAAGGAGGGAAATATGTTAATGAGGAAATCACGAGCCGTTACAGGTCCTCAGAGCTTCAGAAAAGTCCACAGAACGGATGATAATCTTCTTCTAACTCTTAGATTTCTTCTTCATTAGTAACTTCCCTTTGGGTTTAAGTAAAAGAGACTTTTTGTGCTCCTCTGCTCGTTTGGCTTCCTCCTGCTTCTCCTCCCAGGCTTCTATTCCTTTGTCCACCTCCGAGCTCAGCATCACGATACGCCTCTGAGAAAACCGACAGGAAACAGGTGAGATTAGCCTAAAATAAAGGGAAATAAATGAGGAAAACAGAGATACGCACAGCTAGAGCTTCTCTCTCCTGCTTTCTTTTCATCTGGCCCTTCATTAAAGGAGCCGGCCGTCCATCTGTACACGAAAATAAACCAAAAATTGAGTACAAAAATAAACCAAAACTTTAATACAAAACATGTATAAATATAATTAAAACAACATTTAAACACAAGTGATTATAAAATACATCAGCAATAAGGATGCACGGTGACATGTAATATTAAAAACACACAGATGAGCTGATAACGACACTGTTTTTCTAAAAAACAGATATATAAATACCTGCAAAAGACCAGTCGGGCAGATCTGTCAGGGGTCCGTACTCTGAGCCGCTTCTTGCAAGGCCATTGCTGCAAGCGGAGCCAAATTAATACACTTTTCTGAATTTCTTAATACTTAAACCTCTAATTAGAAGTAGCCTTTACTCATAAATCCATTTCACCATAAAATAAGCTAATAATGAATCCTTTATGCTTTTTAATTATCTTATATAGTTTTTTCTTCTTTAGTGAAAAGGGTTTCACCATAATATTCAAGTAAATATGAATCAAGTTCAGTCAACACAGTTTTATTCACTTAATTATATCCAAACTTGTTCATACTCTTAACAGTTAGATTTTCGTGACTTCCCTGGTTAAATAAAGACCAACGACAATTAATTAGTTATTGTTTTCAGTGTTATCTTGACAACATTTTCAGCAAGAAACTGAAATGGCAACGGCCGAATTACACAACAAGCATTACAGAGGAAGATAACAAGGTCACAAACATAGCAGATTAATTTTTTGGTTCAAATACGAAATATTTTCTTTTAAACTGTAAAAAAACGGGTGTAATTTTGCAAAGGCGGGCTAACTTACTCTTTCCTCCACTGTTCTCCAGCTCGTGCCCAACTTGTTGTGCTGAACTGTTTGCTGGAGTGTCTCAACACTTCAAAACCAGCAAAATAAACAACACAATTAAATAAATAACTCACTTAAAAGTTACGGGGTACAGTTTCTCCTTTGTGATCATTATGAGCCCAGACAGTGAATATTATGTTAGCATTAGCTTTAGCACTGACACGTTACGTCAGTTACTATTACATAACGCAGTTTAAAAAACAGACACCACAACAAATAGACAGTGACCAAAACAACTTAGCTATATTCCGGTGCTTAAGTTTACAGAAAAAACCCACAGAATAATTTGGTAAATAACCTCTGGCTCACCTGAGCAGCACAGCGTCCTGATGGGGGCCGCCATGTTAGCTGTTGGTCACGTGACCACCAGGGGGCGCCAAACATGCGCCTAAAAGTACAAACTGTGAAAAACAACAGACAAAAAGAACTTAGACATCAGAAACAAAGACAACCTGGAGAACATAAGGGGTTAGGATAATTTCTCTATGTGGGTTTTTCGTGTTAAAGAGCCAAAATTATCAAACATTTAATCATTTTTCCAATTCTGAATGTTCATTGCCACAGTATGTGATCTAAAACTGTTTGATAAGCTTAATCTTTAACAAATGCTTGAAATGAGATAAACAGCTTGTAATGTAGTTTGTCATGAAGCTGTAAATATAAACATTTAATATGACCTCAGGGACTTTTTACAGATATGTGGTTCTCGGAAGATCGCCACCACAAATATGTGATAAT